AAATCTAAAATGCAAAATATAAACTTAAACATCATCTATCTATAGAAATCTATATTAAAGCCCTGTAACCTAACAACCTACTCAGCATGGGGGGAGTACCGTCCACACCTAAAGCCTGTCAAGTGAGCGTCACATCTGATGGTGTAGGTGAAGTAGAGAACTCCTGTACTGAGCCGACACCTCATGGAGTGAATTCCCCTCTCAGGAAACAGAAGACATCTCCCAACCAAGTCATTATAGAACACATCCCTGTCCCAGACTTCAAACCTCAACTCCTGACCCAGTTCAACTGAACCAAAATTATAAGTGGCATTCCACTCTGGGTTATTGTCGTCCATTACTGTCGCAGTTTCCTCGTACTTTCCGTTGTAGAAGATTTTCAAGTAGGCGTCTGTTTTTGTGAAGGTGTCCGCCTTCAGGCCTGCAGCTCTGTGGATCTCCAGTCCGAGGGTTCCTCTGCCAGCCCTTAATGGACAACAGTTGTGATCCAGGTTAGGAGTTGGGGAGCAGCTCTTGAGAGCAGGCTGCGCCTCCTGCAGCTGGTTCTCTTTAATGTAGTCAGTGACGATGCTTCTCAGATTGGCACTGATCTGTGAATCCTCCACCAAATGGTGCAGAGGGAAGATGGCATAGGAAACCACGTCAGGGTTATCGTGGAGGCTGTTCATCCAGCTTTGGTATGCTTCAGATGGGTCTTGCTGGTAGAGGATGTCGGGGAAGTACCTCTCCCCTCCGATAACCTCGATCTTGTGGGTCATGAAGCCTTGGTAGAAGCCCATGCTCATATTTCCCTTCAGGATGTTGTCACACTTGTTGGAGAAGGATGCATTAGCGGGGAGGAAACCTAGAGCCATTCGAAGTTCGGAGTTCAGGCACTTATTGATCTCGGACTCTGAGAAACCCTTCAGTGTGGCCAGACAGGTCCTGAAGGCAGTGATTCGCCTCACCCTACCACCAAGCTGGACCTAGGAAACAAAATATTTAAATGAAGACTTTTGAGTAACCTTTGTCGTCCACCTCTGTGTCATTATCTCAGTAAAACACTATCAAAATACATTCTGCCGTTACTAAAAGGCACAAAGAGAAGAGTCTGGATGTTTCTCTGACCTGGTGTATATAGTGTGTTCCATAGGTGTCTATCAGACGTCTGTACTTGGCTCTGTCCTGGCTTGTGTTTAAACTCTGTGGGAGTCGGTTCAGATGCTTTGTAAATTCTGTACTCAGCTGGGGATGATCAGCCAGCCTGTAGCTGAAGAAACAAAGAATGCGGAGTACCATGACACAATGAAAAAATAATCTTGACCTTTTAGTAACAAACACAAAAAACATTCAAGTTCACTGTGCGGCCTTAAACACTTGTAACATGCCGATCCATTGTTTTCTTTTGTGTACCATTAGTTCTCCCTTACCTGTAGTAGGTGCAACTGATTTCATGAATGGCAAAAGTGGCCTTGTCCACACTATGCTGTGAATGAGCAAACTTTGCCAGGTCTGATCTGCTTCCTCCCAGCACTGCTTTGCCAACTTTGTCGAGGCTCAAGTCCAGGTACCAGTTGTTGTTAACCAGGGAGGTGGAGCTGCGCAGCAGGGAGTCCACAGAGTGGTGCAGGGCACTAGAGAGCTGCTTACTGCAACGGCTGAATGGACGCCAGTCGAGCACCGCTGCTGGAAGCCTCTGAATCTGAGGAGGATTAAAAATGAACGGATGTGCATGGGGATGCAGGTGCAGGAAGAAAACAGTTAAAGGAAGTGGGATACAATAGAGGAAGGGGTGATCTGAGAAGACTGAGCAGTCTGGTAGTTTTACTTTACCTGTCCTTTTTGGAACCGGTTTGGACACAGTGTGCAGGTGTGGTTGGTACCCAGGTGAGCTTTGACGTTGATGACATACGCGCCTGTTCGACGCATCCGCACCACATCAAAACCCTCTCCTGCCAGGTTGTGGCCTGGGACAAAAGGAGCTTCTTCACACTCTGACCCAAAGCCAGTCCGACAGCCATGGACCCTGCAGACCTCCAACATGACTGACAAAGCCATTATAAACAGAATGARGTTGCTCCGTGGATGTTTTCCTGCTGGCATGGTGACCTAAATGTAGCATAGGACACAAAGGTTGAGGATGTTGCTGGTAAAGTCTGGATTTTAATGATAAGCTTGTGAAAGAACATTTTGCCTCTAAATACTACCAAGATGTAAGGATTGTCTCAGGAATCTCACTGCACGTAGAAAGTTGCTTTATTTTCCTTCAAATTAAAACACATTTTCGCAGGTTTGCAGTGAGCGGACTTTTAATAGCAGATGAACTATGTCCGTTACACAGTAAATGCAGATGAGCTCTTAATCTGCTCTGCTTTATAAAAAGCAGTAATCCTGCAACAGATGTGTCAACATAAAAACGTGACATGCTCTAAAAATGGCAAACTATGAATAAAGACATGGCACTCTTACCTTGGACTATATTTGTTTTATTGTCCTTCAGTCCGTCTTGTCTTCTTCTTTTAGGAGTTGTCAGGCTGTAACTTTTCCTCCTCTGCAAAAACGCCTGCCTCGGTTTTAAGGTTCCCTCTTCACTCAGCTCATTGACGGCACAGTTCACTGGTGAACTGCAAACTGACTAAAGTCTTGGTCCTGCTGGAATTGAAATAACGGCAGAGGGAGCTTTGCTGAAAGCCTGCTGCGAGCACTCTTTTGTCCGTCCTCTGCCTCATGAAGAAGACCTAGGAGGGAGTTTCCCTGCTTCACAGCCATGTATCTGTCACTCTCTCCCTCCCCCTCTATTTATCTCTCCCCCAAGGCCTTACCAATTTCCTCAGCATGACCGGGTTTGTTTTCATGTTCAAGACCCAGCTGTATGAATCCCTCACAGCTGTGTGTGCGTGTACACATGTGGGGGAGGGATATTTTTGTATGTCACGAGAGGAGATGCACATTGGTCTGAGCACTCATCTCATTTCGGGAAGTGGATGCATGTATGTGCATATGAGTGTGTACAGTACATATATCTGTTGTGTTTGAATGAGCTCGTGTTTATTTAATGTCTGGGTCAGCCTGTCTGTGTGCTCATTACCATGCTAAAACCATGAGCTCAGCTTTGCCATTGCCTATTTAAGGATGTGAATGGAATGCTGTGGTTTTCTCAGTAAGTTCAAGGGACATCAAAGTGTCTCTCTGTGCAGGAACTTTCATTCAACAGGAAACTGAGAGAAAAAAATTTTCAGCCCAGGTTTCCTATATTTAGAGAACCAATATGTGCTTTGGTGCCAAGTGTACAGACCTAGTGAGAGGTCGTTTGAACTTTTTCTGCATTTTGTACTAATCTTTACACTTTACATGATCTATTATAATAACATATTTAAAAACATACACACCATGCAGACCTGTTAGAAGGCATTAACTATGTGTCAGTGACCAATTTACCAAGATATTATTTGGACATTTAAGACACTTTCCTTTCCTTAACTTCAATGGTTAATAAGTAGTTATGCAATCACAGAAGAGTTTAATAGACACATACATCATTTCTAAATGTATAGATTTTTAATTGCATGATGCAAAAAGTACAGTACAAAAATGATTCATACAATAATTACAAATGGCCCATCAGTTATCTTTTTAAATGTACTTCAAAGTGTTGAGGTTCATAAATGTGGGATAAAAACAAAATGACATTGTGCATCTGGCCCTCATGGGGGCAGTATTGGTTCACTACAGCCTTTGAAAATCTCGTCTGCTTCCAGTGAACCATTTTGTGATTTTAAAAGCAGGTTTTTGTGTCTGGGATGTAATTGTATATCTAAAGTTAGAAGGTACAAACTTCAAGGTTTCTCAGCAGTTCGAATAATCAGTAAAATAATTGGAATTTCAAAAAGAATAATAAGCAATGCAAAGTCATGTTGATTCAAACCAGGAACTCTTGAAGAACTGGAACAAAATGTCCCTCTCCCAAGGCACGTATGAAAAAGATTTCTGAGGTTACAATCAACTTAAAAGCAAAATCTGACTCATGAGAAGAACTTGTGTCTGGGACAAACGGCACCAAGCGGTTTTTTTCCTCAAGCATCATCTTGCTGTCTCTCCGTCTCTGCTTCATCACAACCAACCTCTCCTTGTATTTCCTCATAGCCCCTCCCCATCCTAAACCTAGACAGCCCTCTTCTTCTCTTCTTCAGGAGTACTGCCCCTATGACCAGCAGCACCATCATACCCATCACCCCAAAGACTATTGCTGCCTTTCCTCCCCCAGACATCTGACTCAATTCTGGATCAATTTGAAGAACAATCTCCATGATTTCTTCTGGTTTAGCCAGTTTCCACATCTTGGTCTGACCCACTCTGACCCAGCTCTTGTCTCCGTCAGTCATCACCATCACTGTGTTGGTGGCTTGCATGGTGACGAGCTGAGGTTATATAAAAGTAAATTAGTGTAGCAAAGCTATTTTTCAAGCTCTTACAAAGAGTTTACATTGTTTTTGTCAAATTGCGAAAATGTGTGGTATTTCACTTTATGAGCAGACATTAAATTGTGTCACATATAATGACTGAAATGATTTCTTCATTCTGCAGGATTGTGTTGATTGATGAGTTCAATACGGACCCTGACATATTTGTGTTCCTGTTGTCGACTCGTGCTAGCAGCCTGGGCATCAACCTCACGTCAGCTAATGTCGTAATTCTACATGACATTGACTGCAACCCCTACAATGACAAACAGGCAGAGGACAGGTGTCACCGTGTGGGACAGACAAGGTAAGATGTAATGTGTTACTAATCCTCCTGTCAAAGAAATGATTTCTTATTTATCAGCAGTTGGATGGAAAGAAACCATTCCTGTTATATTCACATTCTGATGTGGTTCAAGACTCATAATAAGGGTTTGAAAAGAAATGAAAAGAAAATTATAGTAAAATAAATTAAAGCTGTCCAATATAGTGCATCTTAAGAAGGGATTTAAAAGAGGTTAGTGAGTCAACTGACCTGATTTCCTCAGACGGAGCCTCAGGGCCCTGACTACAAACACTTTGTCCCCTTATAGCTTTCAGACAAGTTTCTGGAACAGATTAAAAGGAAAATGAATAAAAGCAGATGTGATGAAAGTTCTTCATAACACCAGTGTTATTATTTCTGGGTTAACCACACAAAGGTTTAGATAATCTAACATGTAAAGTATGCAAACCAATTTTAAGACAAATGGCGTATTTTATTCGGAATGTTGCTCACGGCAGCATTTATTACAAAAGACCAAAACATTTTCATTTATAATAAACTGTCCTAAATTCAGAGGGTCTCCAAGGTTAGGCTGGGCAAGTGTAATATATTTCTCTTGCAGCGTGACTCTACATGAAGTGAGAGGTCGCTTAACAGATGTGCAAGGCACTGAAAACAAGGGTTGTGTTCATCAAGTAGCGCTTATTTGAAGCCAGTCCAGGGACACAGATTCATATTTGTTAAACTGTTGGTCCACCCCACATTTTTAAGTTCAGCTTCAATCAGCTGATGTAAAAATTTTAACTTTTTGCCTCTTTTCTGCGCTTTGACCTTAAAAAACACTGTAAACTCACCTGTCACCTGACCTCCACGTTGCTGTTAAACCCCCTTCGGATAAGGTGCAACAGATTCATTTTACTGTTCTGCCAAGCACTTTATTTATCTGTTGAAATGTTTTTTGATTCTGCATAATTATCAACTCCTCAATCAAAAACAGCAGCAAGCATGGATCTGTTATTTTAGTTTCCA